ATCCTCCAGTCCTGTTGGTTCATTTTTCCTTCTGGATCACCCGTCATGATCTTTGCATGCTGATTTCGGAGCTCCGTTTTGATGTAACTTTTCATAATGCTCCATAGCACTTCGATCGGATTCAAGGCTGGAGAACACGGAGCAAGTCTGAGAACGCTCACTCTTCCTCCGGAAACGACGTTTTCAAATTTAGAATGACAGGGTGCGTTGTCACACACAGTCACATATGACTTGTGCTCTTCCTGCAATAGTTGATCAACTAGCGTTTGCAACCATTGCGGACACAATACGGAGTTGTAGGATCCCCTTTGCAGAGTATAGTTCAACAACCTATCCGCATTCATAGCACCTACGATGTGCAGATTTCTTCCTCTTGAACTGGCCACTGGTATCCGACACCTTTGACCTCTTGGTGCACGCCCATAATTTCTTGAACAATGTAGGTTGAATTTGGTTTCATCAATCCAGATAATCTCATGTCCAAGTGCCTCGTACCATTGCAGGTGTTGAACATATCTAGGAAGAAATGACTCAAAAACAGGTGGTTACATTAGCTTTTCTTCTTCTCTTTATTATCTAGTAAGTTCATCGTTACTGGTATTTGATGAATCTTTTTGATGGTAATCAGTTTCCCATCTAAATAGTTGCCGATAGTTGTGATGAAAACTTCTTTGTCGTATTCAGCCTTGAGTTTCATCCGTAGAAACGACGGTGTCACAGTTGGATTCTCCTCAATCCATGAAATGAATTCCTGTACATGGTGATTTGATAACTTGTTGAACCGTCTTCCTCCGTGGGCGAATTCTGACGGTTCTTCTTGATGCCTTCTTATCCATGCTATCGCTGTCCTTTTATTCACACAAAGTGATGCAACGATCATCAACCAGTTATCACCATTGTCTTATTTACGTGCTGTGGCATCTTGCAATGGATCGTAGGTGTAGTATACTACGAGCGTACGACAATGGACTTATCCATCCATCTTGGTGTGATTCGCTTCCTTACCGGACAGACAGAGGTCAGTTGACTCCGGGTTAGTTCATTCGTATCTATGACGCACACCCGATCAACGATCACGAACATAACGTTCCTGGGTGGAACGGGTGTGTGGGGGAGGCGGGGAGAGAACAGCCCACCTCGACCCACCCACCACCCTACCGAAACATTCAACCTGGCTCGGTAACTCGCGAAAAATGTACATTTGTTTGTTTACCGAGAAATTAGTTCATTCGATATGGAGGGGGTTTAGACAGACCCGGTCCAATCGGTGACATTTGACGGCCAAAACGACAATCATCTTGTCGGGGTTTCCAATGGATTGGTTGGATTCACTTGAAGTTACAACGGATTCACTTGAAGTTACGGCGGATTCACTTGAACTTGAAAAGGTATAGTCCGAACAGAACAATTAGAATGTTGAGAGCAGATGCAAGCGGAAGATAATGCATTTACATAGACTGAAGTTGCAAGAATAATTGGTAGATGCATGAGCGCACCCAGCCATATCGCTCAATGTCTCCAACCATCGATGAGCATGATCTCGAGGTCCCTAGCCAATACCCGACAGTACTATTTATTGTAACTTACCTACTGTTGTACGCATCTGAAATAAGGATAACGTAGTCCCTTTTGAACCCGCTGGAAGAGGCGTTCAGTAAATTCAAGCAGTTGGGCGTTCTTAGTACTTTTATTTTTTTATTATTTAGCACATTAAAAACTGGTTTATTGAAAACACTGAAGTCATATGCGGTGTGCCAAATGGTTTGACAATACTGGTGCATAGTCTGAACATTCGCCAATCACTACGTAGCGCAGCATTTGATAGAATTGCGATAGTCGATTGCGTTGCATACGATCGTCACACCGCATTTATTAAAAAAGCTTTGCACCGTCAACATCTTTTAATAATAAAATGTTTCAACCTTCATTGACCTCAGAATATTCCAATACTTCTTGATTTGACGATGAATTCGTCGTATAAATGATGCTTCAGTTGAAGGGCTGGGAAGCACGGGATAACTGTTTTGACCTGGTTAGGTCTCATCAGCAGTTCAAAGCCCTCGGCTCGAATGGGGATTGAACCCGGGACCTCACAGGCAGAACGCAAGCATACTACCCACTTAGCCACCGGGCAGATGATCAGACCGTTCCTCGTTTGGAATATACGCGATATACCACAACCCATTTTTGGGAGCTTGTTGATTTTGATTTGACTCGCCTACAGCGACATGACTAAAGTTTGTGTACCGAGGCTAAAGGACTATGGGTGGTGGCCAAACTATTGTGGGTTTTGGCTAAAGGAATGTGGGTCAAGGCTAAAGGATTATGAGTCCAGGCTAAAGCGTTGTAGGTGTTGGCTAAAGCTTGATGTGACAAGGTGGGGTGATTATTACTGCTATGTTGAATCAAAATGAGGTAGTAATCAGTTTATCGTCGCCACGTAAAGTGGTTACAGAATGCATGCCATTACCTGGCACAAGGACTGTACGAACCTTCACTGTCAGCTGGCTGAACAAAGCACCGAGGGAAAAATATTATTGCGATCAAAATAGACATTGTTTAGTTTGTTAACGAGTAATGCTTCCGTCTTGAGGAGAAAACATTGTGATCTGCTTAATTCTTTTGATTGGCCATCAATTAGCAAAACATGAGTGTTTTCGGTCGTTTTATCAAGCGGTTCAAACCCGTCAGATGCATGTAAAAGTTTTGTGTGGAAAATCCTTTATCCTCTTTTGATATGATCCAATAATAAGAAGAATCCAATCAGGTATGTCCATTTTTGTTCAAATCGATCCCACTTTTACCGTGCTGTACAAACATACATACAAGGTGATAGTGATTTGAATACCACTAACCTGAATTCCGGGCACAACTTTGTCCGGTCGGATACAACGAACAGTGACTAACTTCTGCAGTCCAACCAGAGTACTAAACTTCCCCGCCGGAACAAATCGATGCGGTTCTGTGCTGTCGTACATTTCTTTCCACACGGCCGGTTGTTCCTTCACATCTGTGTCGGGAATGAGAACGGAAGACACTGTCTGTTTAGAATCAATTTCGACAGGTATTCTACTGATTCCTCCTCCCCCCCCCTCCTACTACTAAAGTGAATAAAAGATGATTCAATATCATTCGTGTCAAGGTTAAAGTCATCCCATGCACTGCAATGGTGCATAGCTTGTTGAGACCCATCTAAAGAATAACTATTCTCACAGTGCAGTGGAGAAATATGAATTATTCGTATTATGAGTGAATAATCCTTCATAAAGTAAAGGAAAAAATGCATTCCTATTCACGTTTTATAAAGTAATGAAATTCGGATGTGACTAGATAACTATTTCAGATCAACGGGAAATCGACAAGTGCAGTCTCACAACAATGTGTCCTCCCGAAACCAGAATGTAGTCGAACGTGTTTTTTTCGGTGATTTCCGTTTCAAACCTTGGCAATCACATTTATATGATACAATTTCAATAGGGTCAAACAGATAGATGGATGTTTGGGTTACGTAACCAAAATTCGCTAGGTTACTTCATGGTCGTGTGAACAAGCGATTCTCTCTCCCCTTGGCCGGAAGAGTTTGAGAGTTTGGATAACTTTTCGTTGTGCACACAACTCACGCTTCATGAACCGGATACTAATCAGCTCTGCGATCGCTAATGTCCTAACCCATATTGCTCTCGAAGGGTGTGGTGAGACTTGAAAAATAATTGTAAATGCCGAGTGCATATCAATCAAGTGTCCCGTTTCTACCACATGAGCAGCAATCGAGCTTGGTACAGTTCCACTCCGTCTCTTGTAAATCAACCGCACACTAATCTCACGTTCAAACTGATGAGCAAATTTAATCTCACACTATTATGGTTCAAAAATTTGACCACTACTCACTTTGTTTGTTGTGTCAAGAGTAGTGTTACGGACTTTTAATCATCGGCTGTATTTTGTTAGCACTGCACAACCCTGACGAACAGGTTAGGATCTAAAGTGTTTCGTGATAAGTTCTATCAATTTTTTCTCCATTGTATCTCTTCGATTTCATGTATCAGTGTGTTTTATTTCACTGAAATCAATTTTCTCCGCACGAAATGTATTTGAATACATGAATGAGGCGTTCAGTTCAGTTGAGATTGTTTTGAAGAACGTTAGCAGAGAATTGCTCTGATAGCCTTCACAATAATAGATATCTTGATAAATCATTTCACCAGACTTTCAGGGGTCCTTCGGGTTTCCAAGGGACTTAGTTGTGTTTTACCGTTTCATTTCAATCGCAATAATCTCAAATATATATCGTCATAATACAGCGATTAAAACTGCTGAGATCCAGTAAAAGTAATAAGGTGATTCTCTCTCCTCAATTTATGGGGATCTCTATGAGGACAACAAACAGTAACACTCACTATTTCCAAGTTACATCATTCTAGACTTTCATTAACTATAAGATGCTTCCTAATTCAGGCGTATACCAATAAAGAACGATTTCTGAGATTCAACAAGTTATGCAGAGTTCATCATATAAACCGGACTTACCGTCCATCAGACCTTCCAAGCCCGGTAGATCCGAGGCACGCACTATTTCTCCCCAACTCTTTTCAGATAACCAGCCCGGGCATGGATTCGCATGCGGATTGTCCAATGCAACTCCGCCTGTGAGTAGAAAACGCCACACGTTCTCCTCCACTTTCCCCCTAGATGATGACAATGATGATGATGATAATAATAATAATGATGATGATGATGTGCAATGCTCAATTGGTCATCACGAACAAACGAGAACAACCTGAGTTCAGGTCAGGTGTGGAAAAACATATTGGTATGTGAATAGTATACCATTTGCGACCGATATGTGGTAAATTGTAGCTTCCATTTGGAAAAACAACTCAACTTCCAAGAACTGTCTACTTATCAGAAGAGTTTTCTCATTCAAAAATCACGTAAATCGTTTTCTTTGAAGTGTTTCGACGTGTTGGACGGAAAAACAGTGCAACAAGAAGGGCTTATCAGATAAGCTTCCAAGTGATTAGTGAATGTGCTTCACTCGTGAGATCACGGGTTCGATCCACAGTGGGGTCGATTGGTTTTCACCGCCGTCAAAACAGTGGTGAGTATCTAATGAGTTTGATTGATTCGTGCATATATACATATATGAAAAGTTGTGAAGCACTGGACAGCGGTTTCGACCTGGTTGGGTCTCATTGGCAGTGCAAATCCATCGACCCAACTGGGGATGCAAGCATGCTACCCACTCGGCCGCCATGCAGCTGATCCAACCGCTTTTCATTTTCCTTATACACGAAATTGCACAACCCATCTTTTCGAGCTTCTTGCGGGCATCGCGCCTCGTTCATTTTAGCGCTAGCCTCCAGGTTTATGACTCGGCTGGGAAGATTCCAGCCCGATTGCANAGAGCAAATGACACGTGATCGGAAAAGCTGGGAGGCATTATCAATCTGAGCGCTGACGCGCTGAATGGACCAAAATGAATGATTCGAAAAGTATTCTGACTTGGCTATACCTGAAAGGATCGATTAACTAACTAATTATTAATTAATACTCATTGTTGATGGTTTCTAAAGTGTTTTTGGGGTGTTGTAGGGTATGGGACAAGTGAACTCTGTATGGAGAATTGCAGGATTCTCCGCTTTTCGCCGATAAAATTTATCTGTTTGTATTTCTCTAAGTCCATATTTTATACTGAACACGACAATATTAATAATACTATTTTTATCTTCTTCCTTGAAAATACAACGGTACGGTTCAGTATCAAGAAGAGAGGTGCAGTCAGTCGATGGCTACCCGGGTACATAGTGCAGTTTCAAGAGAGTTGTGGCATTCGAATATATCCTTCAGATCGGTATGACCGTTCGATGATCAATACCCATCGTGAGCACATCTCCGCGTGTTAACAACGACTATCCATGATTATTTTTTAGTCTCAATACCACTAATTTGCCCGAAGAAAAGTAGCCTAGTTACTTTCAGTTTCATAATCTGCGTCTTTTAATAGCCTATACCTGTTTGTAGGGATGTCCAATCGTCGTCCCGTTTATCAGATAAGAAATCACAATTACTTGCTATTTCATACCTATAGAGGATGTTACATCAAGCCTAAGCGAGACACTTAAAATGCAACTAAACTAAACTACCACATTTATATGGACCTCATCATTTCACATCACATTCGTTCCAACAGTTAAGGTATCTAAGATCGTAATCGGAAAACGGGTGGGTTTTTTCAATCATTTTCAGGTAAATGAGATCAGGGAATCACACTAACTCAAATAAATAAACCGGACCTGACTTTTGTGAACAGAACACCATTTCAGAACAAAATGAATTGTTGTCTTACAATTGCACCCAATTTTGCCGTACGTTACTCACTCCTTTTTCAGTAGTGCATAGCACATCAGCATGGAGAACAGAAGTTTGTGATTTTCGAATAGGGAACGGCAAATATTGCGGTACACGCTGGTGGTAAAGTAACTGTTCAACATCGTTATCCGTTCCTCCAGAATTTGAGACTGTTCACTGTTGACAATGGACTGGAGAAGATAAGATGAAAGGTTATTGTATAAAAAATGAGCCAATCATGTCCAGTCAGATAGTCTACACCTTTTGCAATTCAAGTTGTCCGAATATCAATCATATCAAGATGTCCGGGTATCATTTCAAGTTTGAGCCCCTGATCGTTAGTGCTGTTCAGCTCTATCCTTATCGTTGAAAGGAAACGATACTACAGTTAAAACTAGTTTACGGACTTCCTTGATTCCTTACGGTCGGATTAAACGTTCGGTCTCTAGTTTCAGTCTCTATAGTAGTACACACGATCTATACCTTTTTCATGTCAAGTTGTCCCANCTGTCCCCGGATTATTTCAAGCTGTCCTGCGATTATTTCAAGCTGCCCCGGATTATTTCAGGCTGTCACATTGACCTCACCGGTGCTGAGAAGCCTCCCAGTGCGTTCTGGATGACTACCACGCAACTCCGATTTCTCTACCTCCCGTTAAAGTGCGGGGGTCGGTTGTGGGATGGGCTTCGGTCAGTCACGCCTCAATTCCCATGGAATACATATCGATCGTTCATCGTGCTAGTAGGCGTACGCCTCTGTGTATATTGTGTGTTTGTCCCCCTCCGCTGATACCAGTGAATCATGCGCGATCAACGCTTGAGCCAATACAGTGCGATTGCTCCATCGTCTTGTCCTTCTCATTCGTGACCCTAAACAAGTACATTCCTTCTTACCCTTTCTGTCATCTGATCATATTCCGCGATTCCGTGGCACTTAGAATCTCTCACCCCAACACGATACTGGCTGATTACCGACTTGTACGTTTGGTAATGCTCTTGTTGTTACGCCCAGTCCATCCGAGTGCTGATGGCACTCCTGCTGTACAGTCGAAGTTCCTGCCTGAGACTCACGACTGTAAAAAAGGTGTGGTTTCTCGCTCGGGTTAGCTGGACATCCATAAATAATTAGAGTTTTAACTCTAAGATGNATAAATAATTAGAGTTTTAACTCTAAGATGCTTCATCCCCCATCAGGTATAGGGAAGGAGGGAACACAGTATCTAAAAGGAAATCGAACAAACGCCCCGAAGAACCCTGTGCCGTTTCTTGTTTCACGCGGTCAAAGACCTTTCGGATCGTCAGAAACGCTTCTACACTCCTGACAGACCCGTACTGCCACTTTTACTGACCCATAAATTTTGGAAGACGTAGGTCATGAGTTGAATTTTTTTGCAAGAATGAGGATTCTCACTGTGGTGAGGTAATATTTGATAGCTGGATTCTATGAACCATTCATCATTACCGAGCAATTCTAACTATTTATGGGCAGTAGCCCTAAGTTAGAGCTTGTTTAATCTTTTATCTGGCGGCCTGCATGCTTATCCAAGACATCGACCTAAGTAGGAAAATCTTCTCTTCTTTGTGGTCCAGGATTTTATCGGATACCTCTCGGCTGAACTTAAATCCTTCGCTTTTACTCAAATTTGATCACATCTTTGGGTTACCCTATAGTACTCGGATGGACCAGCTTCACAAAACGTTGAGCCGAAAAATGTCTGCCTCCTTTTCAGATCCGCGATCCTAGGTAAGATCACGTCAGGGCATAGATTGTTTCATCCTTTGTTTAACAATGTGTCATATTCATCAACTGATACCGTGTCTTCATCGTTTCCCCTGGGTTGACTGCAAGAACTCTAAAATACTGCGTTGTGGTTCAGCTATGATAACCGAAAGGCGTTCTGATCTCCTAAAACTTACTAACTTATCGAACATTTTCACAATTTCTGATTGGTGGTGGCTTCGGTAATCACTATTCTAAGAACGACCATGGTGGTGTTCCCATCGTGAATCTGAATCGAGAAATGCGAAAATGGCAATACGACTGTTCGAAGACAGTTTGCACTTACTACTTATGAATGTTATACGTTAACCATAAGTCACCCGGTTTACTTTGTGTGGTGGAAGTGTTTAAGTAATACTATATAATTTCAGAGATAAAGATTATCGAATTCAGAGCCTGTATTCAGAAAAGTTCATTTTAGAAACATTCCAATTTAAAACCTATATCTTCTTATAAAATTCCGTAACTCTTATGAAAATTGTGGCATCTTTCGACAGCCCTCATCACTTTATTCCTATTGCAGTTAATTTGATAGAGATATCTCATTCCGTTCCGAATAAACGTCAAAACGGTCATTTTGATTGTTCAGTGCTTGAAGGTGCTTCTGTGGTAGTGTCACAGAGATGGTTTATGACCTGAAAGTGTCGAACAAACTGGATGTGAATCTGGGCAATACTGATGTGTATATCGATCGAGCATGGTCTATTGGTGTCCCAGTGCAGCCGCTTGAGTTGTGGATATGAATTCCATTGCAGCATCATGCGATGGCGGTAAGCAGTTGTTCAAGCGTTGATCGCGCATGATTCACTAGTATCCGCGGTGGGGGACAAACACACACACACACACACACACACACACACACACACACAGAGGCGTACGCTTACTAGCAAGATAAACAACCGATATGCATGTCATGGGAATTGAGGCGTATGCGATCGGAGACAGTCTCACAATCGTCTCCCGCACTTTAACGGGAGGTAGAGAAATCGATGCTGCCTGGTGGTCATCCAGACATCGCTGGGAGGCTTGTCAGCACCGGTGAAATGATACTGGGACAACTTGAAATAATTGCCAGACATCTTGAAATAATGCTCAGCCAACTTGAAATGATCATAGGACATCTTGATATGATATTGGAACAACTTGAATTGCAAAAGTTATGGTGATCTCAAGTTCCGTTTAATTCCAGTAACGTGGGCATCTTCGGTTGAATCTTGGTTCAATCAAAAAATATAAATGTTTACAGGCAATGGACTGATTTCATGGGTTAGTTAAGCACTGGAAAATTAAATTTCAGTATTTCGAGAGTAAATATCCTTGTTCAGGATTGTGTTTCCACGCGCACCCCTCCCACCCCCATGCATCTCTATGATACCCACTTTGATTTTTGTATGCCTACTGATGACAGCAATGCTACACCGCAGCCAAGTGAAAATAATCAGAAATTGAGGAATCCCAAATGAAAATCGGTTGAGTATGGCGCTAGCCTGGCTGAATAGCGGTGGTCTCAGCAAGAGGGTGAAATGTGCAGCGTGCTTGGCACTCCGTGTTGATCGTGATCGCCCTACAACGATTAGCCCCCCAATGCTCGACTCAGTCAGATAACATTGCGCTATTCGCGTGCTTTTAATTGGCTGACTAACCGTGCGGATTGAAGAGGTAACCAATCGGATCCAGTGAGCAGATCCATTTGCTTCAGGCAATAATAATCGGTCGCCGCTCAGGAGAGTTCGAATAAGCAATTAGCGAAAATCACAGTTCTTTCAATTATTTTCGGTTGAACGTTACACGCTAATTGTTCATCATCGATGGCAGCTGATAACGACCCAAGTTGATTTTCACCTGCTCGCCAAGATTGGCAATTTGTTTGTAAACGTTTCGTCACCAGCCGAGGTGATGGATCGGGGTTCGTTCGTCGATCGGTCGGGTGGTTCAATTGCAACAAGGGGAATGCTGCTCGCCCAGCTAATCCGGGTGAGAACCAGCACCTTGTCCACACCCTCCAAATTTTAGCATGCCCAGTGGAACTTTGTGAACTTTGTGCCATCATCACACGACTGGAATAGCGGTGACAACAAGAGTATCGCAAACATTACGAACGCGTGATCAGACAGCGATTGTCCGGTTCTGGGATTCGAAGTTCTGTACATCGCGGAAAATGATCCCATCATACTGCGGAAAGGGTCGGAGGGAATTTAATTGTTTCAGGTCACGGCACGCGTGAGAGGCACAAGACGATGTGAAAAATGGAACAATCGCAATGTATGGTCCTGTAGAGTGGCGATGTTCTGCTTATGAGTAAATTTGTCTATATATGTTCTTCAACGAATATTGTTGCCACTTATTCCCGTTGCTTTCAATCTCGTCCGCACACAGGGAAACGAGAGGTGTTTTTCCGTCTGGACTGTGGTTTTAGATGTTCACTCTTTCGTCACGACGTGACCTTTTGTTGTCCTTTGCTCCTTGAATTGCACTGGCTTGTACACTTGATCCAGTTCGGTGTGCCTGTTCAAGCAGTTGACTGAAGAGTGGCAAACCTCGATCAGGTTTCTTATGTTTTTGACCGGACTTGGTCGATGATTCTCACGGATTCGATGTCGAATTTATATCCTCCTTGATCTTCTAGGAGACTTGCGGATAAGGGAGGACGGAAATCAGTGAGAGTGGGTCAGGTCTGTTGAATGTCAATTGATATACACGGATCCTTGTCGATAGTTTTCTTTCAGTTTGTTCAATGTGGTATTAGAGCAGTCCTTGCAATTTATTTCGTAGATAACTCTTGTCTTTCTCCATTGTTTTCTTCTTTAGCGTTGAAGGAATTCTTCGTTGGCATGCAACCGATTTGTGGACAACTTGAATTCCGTATGGTACATGCTAAGGGTACATGTCGACTCAACTGAAAGAACCAATGACACAACAAAAGGTCACCTCATGCCACAGAAGATTGGACATCAAAAACCGCGATCCAGACGAAAAATCACACACAAACACACACACCAGTTCCCTTTAAGTGAATCAGATCGAAAACAACGGAGACAAGTGACAAAAATAGTCCTTGAAGAACAAAGACATATATATATATATATATATATATATAAGCAAATGGAGCATAGGCAAAACAAGGCCACTCCACATGCACTGTAGATGACCCCTCAGCTGGCGATGCAACATTTGCAAACACATTGACAAGCTTGATGAACAGGCGAAAATCAATTCAGTTCATCTGAACTCCGAGAACCTATGTTTACTACTTCGACAACCTAACTGTTGTCTCCGTTTCTTCCCCTGCATTGGATAGCAAGTCCACTTTGTATTTGTTCTACGCATTGGTCTCGGTCCATACTGTGTGATGGGGAGAAAATAATAGCACTAATTCCACTACTACTAATATTTTGATTCCATTATTGAGTACCCAATGGTACTTTTAGTCAGGGGAGCTGCAGCCAGTGAAAGGTCTCACAACGAGTTCATGCAACATTTCCAAAAAATAAGCGAAAATACATTAAAGTGTTCACAGAACTGTTCACAGTGAGTATATGAGACCGTTTCGCAAATAATGTGAACAAGTTAGAAATTCACGGCTTCCGGTTAAACATAAGTAGAGGGTTTTTGATTCAACCGTGAGTAGAACGCCAAATAAGTGCATATTCATTTCCTGAGTGTATGGAAATAATTTCGAAATATAAAAATAGTTTTTACCCCATGCATAGTCTATAGTTGTTTTCCATAGTGTGTGACGGCCAGTAATATTCCAATAAAGCGTTCAGTCAGAACAGTTTTCGAACCGCTGAATGAAACCTACCGAGAGGAACAGATTGATGAACCAAGTCAACGAGTACTGATACATCGGATCGATATTCGACAGGTCGGAGATGCAGAAAAACAGAAGCGAGCCATGCTCTGCCACAGGACGATAGGCATTTCGAGCGGCATCGATTTCCAACTGGGTCGATTCGGCAATCACTTGTTTCTCTGTGATCTCCTCGCTGAGTTTTTTTGATGAGCTGAGCACATTGATGGCCGTCTCATTTTCTAAAATATTTCCTTGGGACGCACTCAATACTTCCAAAATTTTATCCTCCAACTCTTTCAACTGACGTTTGTTATCGGCCGAGGTGACAATCAATTCGTTTTTGGTCGCCTCCAGTTCCGGTTTCTCCTCAGCCGTAACAATACCCAACAATTGGTCTTCCAAACCCAACGGAGTGATCATGAAATTGAGCAGGCACACTTTGACCGAAACCTCGGGTAAATAGTGCGGATTACGCAACCTTGTGGTAATGTAGAATCGGAAATTGGCATTGTATTCGATTACGTTGTCCCCCAATCGCATATAATATGATCCTTGTGATTTGAAAATCAATCGTTGTAAAATTGGTTCGAGTACGGGATCCAATTCCTCGCCCACATTTTCCATCAGAACGGGAAACCCGAACTGAATCGCATTCTCCAGTGTTCTTAGGTAGTTCGCATCGCTCAGTTTGACCACACCCAATTTGTTATCTTTTTCCATATTTTTTATCCATTTGTTGGCCTGACCTGATAGATAGAGAAGGAAGAAGCCACGTCGGAGTAGGGTACGATTTGGAGAGGATGGCGGGTAACAGTGTGGTTAAGAGATCAATGACGAGCATCAAAGATTGGAAATTTATGTTGGCAAGACCGGTCTATCCATCGAAAAAACAGGATGTCCACTCGATCCACACAGCTAATTAAGAAAATCAATTAACTTTTATAAAAATCTACCAATGGGGCAAGACAGAGAACCACGTCTTTTGTTACCGATACTCAGAAGGCCACTAAGGCCTTCCTGCTTGATCTATGGCCGTGGTCATGCGGTTACGGATATATTTACCTTTCTATATACATGTGGCGATTACTTGCTTTGTTTTGACAACCTTTTCCCCGTTAAACAAATGATCGATGCAAAATCAGTGATGATAGCCCGGTTGCAGCGAACTTGAAGTAGCTTTGCGGTTGGGTCACCTCTGCCTTTGTTGGAACCTATGTCAACCCGGGCGTGCAACCAAACCGTCTGAGATTTCAAATCACTAACACACACACTTCATACATTTGGCGCAGATCGGCAAACGAGGTGACCAACAA